ACATCCGTGCTGATCCTCCTCTTTTTGCTGAGGAAGACCGGCTCTGAGCTAACATCTATTGCCAATCCTCCTCTTTTTTTTTTTCCCCCCAAAGCCCCCGTAGATAGTTGTATGTCATAGTTGCACATCCTTCTAGTCGCTGCACGTGGGACGTGGCCTCAGCATGGCGGGAGAAGCGGTGCGTCGGTGCAGGCCCGGGATCTCAACCCCGGGCCGCCAGTAGCGGAGCGCGCGCACTTTAACCGCTAAGCCACCGGGCCGGCCCAAGTCGTTTCTATTTAATAAATAAAAATATATAGCCCTTAAAATTCCTGCAATATGTAGCTTAAATCTCATGGGGATGGTTAATGGGATAAAAATACTTCTCATTTGTATAGCTTTAAAGTACTGTGTGTAACGCGTTACTTGAGCCTACCACATTCCACTGGGATATGTTACATTGGAAAGCCAGAAATCGTATGAACTTGTAGGGGAGGGAAAACTTCCTTCTACCTTTCAGATTCTGTGGCTAGGCCTAAGAATTAAACTGACGTAAGACTGAGCAAAAAGAAAAAAGCGTTTAATATTTTTATGTGTACATGAGAGTCTTCAGAAGGAAAATGAAGACCTGAAGAGGCCATTAGGCCCAAAAGCTTATCTATCCCTTTTAAAACAAAGAACAATAAATTCTGGGGATGTGACAAGACAAAGGGGCTTGGGTAGGGACAGTAGATTATGGGACAATGACTAGGAAATATAGGGGGAAACTAATGGAAGATAAGGGTTATTTCAGTAGATTTGTTTGTACAGATCCAGTTCAGTATCAACTCCCAGTCTCCGGTGATAAGAATGTTCTCCTCCTGGTACTGGGAGGGCACCTTTCTCGTGGGGAATTTTATGAGCTGCTTTTAGGCAGAAAGGAGGAGATCAGAGAGCCCTTCCTGCATCTGCTGTTTCTCAAGTACCTTCAGTTCAAAATAATCAATATACCAAAGTGGCACATTTTGGGGTGGCGTGTTCTGAACCCCTTCAAACTCTAAGCTGCTGTAGGAAAGGCAAATTTTTACCTCTACCCTCTTAGGGTTTTTGGCCGGGCCTGAGAATTAAATTGATGTCAGACAGATTAGCAAGAGAAAAGCATACACATTTATTTACTATAGGTTTTACTTGACATGGGAGCCCTCATAAGGAAATGAAGACCCAAAGAAGCAGTTAGAGTTGAACTCTTACATACTGAACTGGACAAAGAGTAGTAAATCACGCCAATGTAAGACGACGAAAGGGCCTGGGCTGGGGCAGCTAATGGTAGAGAGGTAACTAGGAAGATAAGGGTTGGATTAACAAGGTTTGTTTCTACAGATTTCTCTCAGTGTTGACTCCCCATCCTTGGTGATAAGAGTGTTATTTTCCTCCTAGTATAGGGAAGACATCTTCCATATGGGGGTTTTATCTCCTGATTTTAGGAAGAGAAGGGAAGATCAGAGCGCCCTTCTTGCACCTGCTATTTTTCAAGTGCCTTTAGCTCAAAATAATCCTTATGCCAAAGTGGCATATTTTAGGGGTGGCATATTCTGCCACTAATGGGGTGTAGGTGACGCTACCCCAAAATATGGCACCTTAGCATATTAAATATTTTAAGCTGAAGAAATCTTGAGAAAAGGACAGAAGCAGGAAGGTCACTCTGACCTTCCCCGGACCTTCTCCCCTGAAACAGGTCATAAAACCCTCTTGGGAGAGGGGCCCTCCCTATCCCTGGAGGAAAGGAGCATCCTTATCTCCAAAGACAGAGGGAGGCCCAGAAGAATCCAAACAAGCAGGCCTTGCTGCTTCCCCCAGTTTGCTACACTCACCTGATACTCATTCACCTATCATATTTCTACACGACTGCCACGCTTCATCAAACCTAGCATAAAAATACTCACGTCTACCTGTTTCTTCGGATATTCCTTTCCTTGTGAAGCTTCCTGTGTCATGTAAAACTTATATTAAATAAATTTCTGTGCTTTTCTCCTGTTAATCTGTCTTTGTCAGCTTAATTTTCAGACCCAGCCAGGGACCCTAAGAGGGTCGAGGAAAACTTTTTCCTCCCCTACACCACCCTTCGCTGTGCAGTACAAGCAGTGTGCTCAGGACAGTTAGAAAGGGGAAGTTTTTTATCCAATGAGCAGGATGCTGAAGGAATGAGTTTGTCTCAGAATGGGATAAGGACAGAAGCTCAAGTCCTATGGCTTCTCAATTCGGCCCAGGGCTGCAGCCCACTCAACATGAAAGGGAATCAGGCACAGGGCCTGACCAACCCACAAACCAAAGATTCAGTCTCGTCTTGAGAGGTCCTTGAAGCGCTGGGGTTACTTGAAGTCAAGGACTCAAGACAAACCGTCTTTCTGCAACATTTATTTTAATTTAGTCCATTACTTTTGTGTTAAAAACAAATACATGCACGTACTAATCATGCCTAATAATTCACTGAACTTTTTCTTTTGCCTGCTTATTTCCTATGGGAAATTAAGCTTCTCATGTTTGTTTTTCCCGCATCTCAGTACTAAATAATGAAATTTCAATGCTCAACTTTGAAACTGCAGATTCTTATTATTTCTGGTGAAAGAAACTTTAGAAAGGTTAGAAGGAGAAAAATATTCCCTCTTCCTCACAGCTGCAGCAAAGCAGAGGTTCTTCTGCATTATAAATTTGCTTCTGATAAAGTAGTGTATTGAGAATGTTCACAGGATTGTCACTCTATTGTCCAGTGTGGAGACCAGGTGGAATTGAACTAATATGGATCTGAATTCTGTTATTAAAGATGACTTCTAAGGTCACCGTACATCACAGGTTGTTTTATTCTGAGAAATGTTACCTATAACCCTTAAAAGTTTACTATTCTGATTGATTCTCTTACTTGATTTGTTGTCCTGGAATTAATATTTAAATTGGCATCTATGTTTTCTGAGAGATAGAACTTATACAATTTTTTTACTAAGCCAGAAGAAGACTCTTGGAATTTTCTTATTCTCTATGTTGTAAAGGTAAACTAAATCCCATGACTGTTGGATTCTATATGAATATAGAGCTTGAGAATATTTTTCTTATTTAAATGAACAAATCCACACATCATGGACAAGGGTGCATATATTAAAAAAAGAAAGAAAGAAAGAGAGAAAGAAAGAAAAAGAAAATTGCAAAGGAATGTGATGCTTGGGTGGGCTGCTTTGGGCTGTCATCCAGACCCCATAGGGTAGTTTCCTCTTACGATGGGAATAGTTTAGTGGTGAAGTTTGAGAAACATTGAGTGATCTGATTGCACGATAGGAAGAATCTTCGGTGCTTTAAAATGTACCCTAAGCCTGATGAAACTGGAAATCCATTATAATTTCATTCTTTTGCTTTAGAATATTATGCAGGCCTTGTTACTTATCGAGGACAAGCCATAATTTCTCTGAAACCTAGTTTATCTGTAAAATGAGGAAAATAACATCTATTTCACAGAGTTGGGATTAAATGAGATAGTGTATGTAGAAGAATTTTTAAATACATTTAAATACAGGCATTATTACAAAACCATACGGGAAGGGGTAACAGTTGTTCACATCAATTACACTTTTGAATGACATCTTAGATAATTTCCCTAGAGCAGGAGATTGCTGCTGCCCAAGGGGCCTCTTGAAGACATAAAGGTAAGTTTCCACATTGTGTTTAGTGTTCAGGAAATCCCCTCAAAATCAGTTTTATTTTATTTTGATTTCAGCAGGAAGATGATCACTCATATTGACACCATCAAGGTAAGTTTCAAGCTTCTTGGGCCTGCTTTTGTTCTCAGGTTTGAGTTTTTATAAGGTTTGGATGCAATGCTTTTTCAATAAAATAAGCACGATTAAGTTTTATATTAACTGTTACAATTTTAAGTATTGGTAACCTTACATAACTGTTTTATGACATACAATTTTCTGAGCAATACTTCAAAGCATATGATATAACTGAAAGGCAAAGGATCTTCAATTTTCTTGTAGACAGAGAATAGAAAACATGAAACTTTTAAGCATTAGAAAACACTATTGAAGAAAACATGTTAGCAACTCAGTAATAAATGAATAATTTATTTGCTTTGAAACTTTAACTTTTAATTTGATAAGCAACTTGACTATTTAGAAACTATTCACCGTTGTAACAGAGAAATTAGTTATTTCCGGTCTTATCTTCCATGACTTAGGAGCATTTCGACTATAGGACCTAAATGGCCGTTGATGGACTGAGGACACTACCGCATTCCAGGGGGAAAAGGCTAAAGAAAGGCGGAAGGCTCTACTCTCCAAGTTGGTACAGGTCAGCACTGGGCTTTGGCGGAGTTCTGAAATCAGGTAAATGTAAGTTCAATTTTTGGTTTCTTCAACTACATAGTTTGTTGAACCTCAGTCATAATATAATGCATGTAACGCGCTCAGCACGATGCCAGGCGCTAAATAAATGTTAGCTATGCGAGAGGAGTTACAGTTACTGGTGACTTGAAACATAGGCTGAAACCTAGTTCACGGGAGGGCATGCTTGTATTTGGAAAGTACCTATTAAAATGTAAATCTCAAGCATGCAAAACACTTTATAAATTGCTCTTACAAAAGTCATGCCAATTTAAAGGAAAGGTCTAAAAAAAAGAAAAACATGTGATCCATAAGATGATAGAAAAAGTATGGGATAAAGGAATAAGGGAAGAGAAGATTGGGATAACAATCTTCTTCCAGTAAATAGGATTGAATTTCAGCCAATGAGATCACAACTCCGGAAATTCCTAATTTTTCTGGCCCAATCAAGGCGAGGCGATGTCTATAAATAAGACTGCCTAGATTTCTTTGAAGAAAACCGGTGAGGTAGTATGGCCCGCACTAAGCAGACTGCCCGTAAGTCGACCGGCGGCAAGGCCCCGCGGAAGCAGCTGGCCACCAAGGCGGCCCGCAAGAGCGCGCCGGCCACGGGCGGCGTAAAGAAGCCGCACCGCTACCGGCCGGGCACCGTGGCCCTGCGCGAGATCCGGCGCTACCAGAAGTCCACCGAGCTGCTGATCCGTAAGCTGCCTTTCCAGCGGCTGGTGCGCGAGATCGCGCAGGACTTCAAGACGGACCTGCGCTTCCAGAGCTCGGCCGTGATGGCGCTGCAGGAGGCGAGCGAGGCCTACCTGGTGGGGCTGTTTGAAGACACCAACCTGTGCGCCATCCACGCCAAGCGCGTGACCATCATGCCCAAGGACATCCAGCTGGCTCGCCGCATCCGCGGGGAGCGCGCTTAAGAGGTGCGCGCCCGGCTCGAGGTTTCATCATATCCAAAGGCTCTTTTCAGAGCCACCCACGGTTTCATGAAGAGATGCTGTACTAGCTTTTCAGTTGGCGTCGGTCTACTCGAATCACGCACTGGCGTCCTGGATGGATGGGCCAGGGGAAAGCCGCCCGTGGTGGGTGATGAGATAACAGAATGAGGGCCTGACCTTTGGTTGCTTGACAGGAGCTAGTGGGAACGGCAGAGGCAAGGTGTAGATCGGTTCGGCAAGCTTGTTTTCTAGATGCTGGTTTGATTTGTTAGGGTAAACAGTGCCAACTTTACTATATCTATGAAAAAAGACTTGCAAGAAGGTGTACTCTTGTTCTACTTGTTGCTTGTAAGGTGTTGCAAGCTGCTAGCACAAAAACGTTAGCACAAATCTGAATATAGAAATTGACACTTTAAAATATTATATGATAACTTGGGATGGGAATCTGGGTTTTCAACTCGATTCTAAAGTTACTAGAACTAAGCCGGATGGTAGATACAATCTTTGGTCCCTAACTAGTTCGCCAGGATTTGGACTGATAGAATGGGGGCAAGAGACATTGTGCTGAATCCCGAGATGTGTAAGATCCCAAAGACGGGGCCGGGGTGGAGGCAAGTTCCGTTCCAAAAATTATGAAGCATTTTCCTGGGTTAAGAATTGTATAAATCTAATTTCTAGTTTAATATCTTACTTATTACATAATACAGGCGGCGTAAACTGGAATGGGAACTTAGGGGAAACAAATACCTGGCGATTTTAAAAAAATGTGGGCTAAGGTATCATTGTTCCAAAAACCAAAACCAAGACAAAACAAGCTTCCACAAAGTATAGAGGAGTAAAACGATGCAAAAATAAGAGGAAGTTAACTTGTCTTTATCTGGCGCTTCAGTACTCTTCCGTATACAGTTCTACAATTGAAACTGAAAACCAACTAACAACAAAAAAGACCCCAAACAGGTGAAACTGTCACTTTACATAATTTACTGGTTGGTGTGAAATGGAATATTTTGATTGGCTAACAAGACTTTTGTTCTAATAACCACTTAGGAAGCGGGAGCAGAACCTTATTTACCGGGGCTCCACGCCTCTATGACGACACTATTGGAAATTAACCAATAAAAATGCAGTACTGTGTGAGTCCTCATTTGCATAGAGGCTCTATAAGTAGCGTGTAACCAGGCCGTTTTGGTGTAGTCGCGATCGCTTTTCGTGTGTTGCCTTACTTCGTGCAAAAATGCCGGATCCAGCAAAATCGGCTCCTGCTCCCAAGAAGGGCTCCAAAAAAGCCGTTACCAAAGTGCAGAAGAAGGACGGCAAAAAGCGCAAGCGCAGCCGCAAGGAGAGTTATTCAGTCTACGTGTACAAGGTGCTGAAGCAGGTGCACCCGGACACCGGCATCTCGTCCAAGGCCATGGGCATCATGAACTCCTTCGTCAACGACATCTTCGAGCGCATCGCCGGCGAAGCGTCCCGCCTGGCGCATTACAACAAGCGCTCGACCATCACGTCCCGGGAGATCCAGACGGCCGTGCGCCTGCTGCTGCCCGGCGAGCTGGCCAAGCACGCCGTGTCCGAGGGCACCAAGGCGGTCACCAAGTACACCAGTTCGAAGTAAGGGTGCGTAAGAAACGCAACAGAACGGCTACTTTACCCCAAAGGCTCTTTTCAGAGCCACTTAAGTTATCGCAGAAAGCAGCTGTAAACACTTGTTAGAAGGTTGGTTAGCTTTTGATTAGATGGGGTGGGCCCGTCATCACGAGTATATTTGGGGTCAGGACTAGGTTGGGGCCATGATAAAAATTGCTCTGGCTATTAAAAATCTGGAATTTCCCATAGTCCAGTAGTATCACCTAGCGGTATGACTCTTGCTGGTAACAAATGATTAGTTCTCAAAATGGTCCCTATCTTAGTCCTACATAGTCTTCAGTGGGAACTTAGGTACAGATAATGGAGAAAACAGGTTTGATACCGTTGGGTGTTTTTTTGGGGGTGAGTGGGGGGGGTGTCTTGCCACTTTATCCCTCTGCTTGTAAATGTCTAGGAAAGTTTTTATTCTTTCAAGTAGTATACGTGCTAGGATTTGTTTTTCCTACTGTACACATGGGAAGCCCTCAGTTCCCTCATTTCCCACTGTTTAATGTTTCCATCTAAACATACACTTATGGGCGTCCGTTACAAACTTTCTCCAATAGAGCCATGTGCTTTAGTCTGTTGGCCTACCTATAAATCCTGACCTAGCCATCCTCCTGTAACTTATTCTAGTCCAGTGACAACTAGGTAGAGATTTTGCCTCCCACTCCTTGGGACATCCGGCACCATCTGGAGACACTTGATTGTCATCACTTGGGAGGGAGGGGTGCTACTGGCATCTAGTGGATAGAGGCCAGGGATGTTGCTAAACGTCCTGTAATGCATACGACACCCCCACAAGCAAGAATTATCTGGTCCATAATGTCAACCTTTGTGCTGAGGTTGAGAGACTCAATGCCCAAAGACTTCCCTTCCTTCAGGATGTAATCCTCATTTCGGTCAAAACATCCCTCAGTCTTACCCAGCCAGTGTTACTGCTCTTGGTGAAAGCTGAGCAGTACATAAACTTACTGATTGTTTACACTCCTCCAGGGCAAGGACCTTGTCTTGGTTCTGTAACACATTTTCCTAATAATAAGGACCACCTCCGTGCTTGCTAAACACATTTCCAGGTACCTCTCCTGAAGTTTCCAGGTTAGGTTAGGTTGGAGGTGGGCACTGGGGAAGTGGTTTTTAGTGTTCTCAGGTGTATCTTTTTGAAATAGATTTCAGGGGCATGATGTACAGAAGGCCACAGTTAACATGTAGGATGAATTTCTAAGGCCCTCTCGGTTCAAAACTTGGGTAACTCAAGACTAATCCTGACAAGGGCTGGTGGATGTTTTACCAAGTAAAATACACCCTTGAGGCAAAAGCAAAATCTTAGTTTCCAATTCGCTTGACAGTCAAGCTTTGAAATTAAGCTGTTCTCCATAAATTTTGGGGAATTTACATGACTACTTTGTGCTTAAAATGAATTTTATTAATTTGTAATGTAGGAGTTCAAACTTACATCCAATTAAAAGTTGCATAAAATGAGCTGTATATGATTTCTTTCTTTCACTGGGAAGTTAAGATTCTCAGTGAGTCATCATCTTTCCCTGGTGACTACCAGACACCAGCCAGGGAAAGATGACTCAACTGAGAATCTAAAATTTCTGAAAGGAAAGAAATCATTACACAGCACATTTTATGGTAAGAAAAATTACTCAATAAGTGAGAAGGCCAGGTGGTCTGTCTACCCAGTTGAGCCATCAGAGAGTGTATCTGGTCTCCTCCTTGCCTAGGATCCTGAAGTCCAGGGGCTCTCTTCTCCCTGAGGACTAGGGACTAGGTTTCTCACTGTCTTTTGAAGTTATTAAAGCATTGTTAATTGACTCACCTAATCAAAAGCTATCGTTAATTACCTCCTGACTAAAGTATTAAGCCCCAACTCCTTATCTTGAAACTAAAGGCCTTCTACCATCTGGCCAAAACTTACCTTCTTCAGTTACTCGTTTTCCCCTGTCCTCCAGCTTAGCTAAAATGTTCTCACTTTCTTATAACGCATCTTAAATTTCTCTTCCTTCGTGTTTTTGTTTATCATTCTTCTAAGCTGTAGTACCCTCAATTGTTCTCTAGACTACTCAAAGCCTATCAACCTGCCAGTTCTTGAACCTCTTGCTCAGTCTCACTCTGTGAAGCCTTCCCAACCCATTCTAGTTCACAGGGAAGTCTTGCTTCTTTTAACTCCTAAGGCTTTGTTCCAATCTCAGTTAACTGTGTAGCTTGGTGAACTGTGTAGCGTTGTTCCTTAATCGCTTTTTCATTGTTTTCACATTTTCTTGTGTTTGTCTTCTAATAGAGTGCAGGGTCCATTTTTTTGATACTTCATGAGATCTTCCACAAAGGCTATCCTGATGCCTATTACAAAACAGCTTCTCAATGAAAGTTGTTGACTGATTGCCCAGTCCATAGAACACTAGAAAATTGATCTGAGGATGGTAGGTTCAAGTAATCCAAAAGGCTTTTTCCTCTACTTTTTCCTAATTTTTTCTCCTTTAACCTGGAATGCTCTTTCAATTGCCCTTAATGATTATTGACCCAGTTAAAACAACTGTTAGAGATTCAAAAATCCTGAGGGGGCAGATAAAGTGCTACACTTGACAGCTTCTCTTCATCCAATGTATCTTTGTGGCCAAAACGATGAGATTAGAGTGAAGCTTTTTCAGCCCAGTTTGAGATGCTGGTTTTCCAGTGATGCGAACAAGGATGAGGGGGGAGGTGCATTCCAGAAGATGAAAAAAGTGTGTGGTATTAAGATAAGAAGCTTTAAATATCAAATCTAGAGAGTGTTGCAAATGCAGAAATGGGCTTGGCCTGGGTCAGGTCAAATGTCATCTAGAATGGGTAAATCATCTTTTCAAGGATTGGTGAATGGATTGTAGTATGTATAGAAACCTACAAAGATGACAGTTTAATCTTCTGTGATGATTTTTAGACAAATGTCTCATTTTTAAGCTGGGTGTGTGCCCTAGAAGTGATCCAAAAGTCAAACTTAAAATATTTGAATTTGGAGACTTATAATTCAAGCACAGGACAACAGATGGGAAATAAGTATGTGATCTCTTTGTGGGATAAAGTAGGAGTTATTAAAGAATGTCAGTCTTGAACAAAGAAGGAACAAGACTGTTTTGGAGAATTACTAGATATCATTGAAGATTATTTCCAAATTTTGTAACTATAGCTGAAAAATCATATGACTTGGCAAAAATAGAAAACTTGATAAAATCTTCTAGATCTCACAATGTTGACATCAACAAACATTTGAAAAATAAAAGCAGGCTGTGTTTTCTTTTTGTGTATTATCAAATATATGTCAAACATATAAGCAAAGCAATGAGATATGGGATAAGAAGATGTAAATACATCTAAAAGAGGAGATTACAAGATAATTACAATTCAAGGCAAAATATATTATTCCCAAAAGAGGGGTAAGAAGGAAATGTTGTGTGACTTAAGGAGAGTGATAGTTTGCATCTGGCTAGAGGGTTCAGGAAAGCTGCATGAGGTCCTGTCCTAGGTGATGGGGATGTATAAGTGCCCTTCTCCCCAAGTCCATGAGGTTCAGCTGGAATTTTGTTTGTGACCAATATATCAAGTATGCTCTGGGAATTTTAAGTTTTTGTTTTACCCAATTTTCATTGTAATCTCTTTCAACTTTTTAATCATCTGATTTTGGTTGATGGAATTCTCCATCATTCCATTTTATAAGTGACTAGAGATCATTAATTCTGCACCCCTCATCCAGGTTGTAACACTTTCCTTTCATTTTAATATATCTCTTTTTAAAAATTTTCTTTTCACATAGTCTATTATTTTACATCATTATATTGAAAAGCTCTGGCCATCCCACCCTCCTGCCTGCAAAGCATTAAGTCACATTGTCCTTGGCTCACAGCATCTCAAACCTGCTGAAGTTTGTTTGCCATGGTCCTAGCTTGAGAGAAATTTGATTTTCCTGTTCGCTATGAGATTAATTTTCTTCTTTAGGGGTGTGTGACTATAATAGGGTGAGTGAATAAACCTTTTCTCAGTCACCCCAAATACAATTTATCAGAAAATATTGTTGGCTTAAAATATGTCCAGTATCCAGCCACACCCCAACACCTCCCCTGTCTCCCCACTCCAAGCCACCACCACATCTCCCAGATGTTTGCAGTGGCCTTATGACTGGTATCCTTGCTTCTGCCCTCTTCCTTCTTACTCTGTTTTCCACAAACCAGCTATATTTACTTTTCAAAACCTAAGTCAGATCATGTCACTCCCACACCATCCTGCCTAACTGACAACCTCCCTATGGCTTCAGAGTGAAGGCCCACATCCTTACAATGGCCAACATCCACCTCATCTCTTCCTGTTTTCCTGTTTGTTTGCTCCATTTCATCACACTTGTCTTCCTGCTCTTCCTTGAATACACCAAGGCCCTCCTGTCTCAGGGTCTTTGTACTTGCCATTTCCTCTTCTGGAAATGCTCTTCCCTCAGATATTTACATGACTAGCTTCCTCATTTCTTTTAGGTTTCTTCTCAAAGTTACCTTACCCACCTATCATTGACGCCTTCCTTGACCAGCTTATGTAAGATAGCAAGCCCACTTCTTTCTCCTCCCCCCACTTCTTGGTACTCCTTATTCCTATACCTTGCTTAATTTTCCTCCATGTTCCATCTGAATACAAATGTGTTTGTTTGTTTGTTTATTATTGAATCAGAGACTGCTACCCATAAAAACTACTCTTTCCTGCTTACTTTAACTCCCTGCTTTCTGCATACTTGGCTTCAGAATTAAAGGCTAATTTATCAGCTTCTCTTGCATCTGGGTTTGTCCATAAGACAAAGTTCTGGGCCAATGAGGTGTGAATGGAAGTGATATGTATTATTTCTAGTTTGTGCCCTAAAAATGAATAGATATGTGCTGTCCTTGCCCTTTTCCCCTCTCCTCTGGCTGGGTTGCAGATGTGATGGCAGGGACTGTGGCAATCATCTTGAACCCAAAAACAGAAGCCATGTGATAAGGATGGTAGAACTGCTCTATTAGCTCTGGGCTATTACATGAAAGATAAATAAACTTGTATCTTGTTTAAGCTACTACTGTCTTTTAAAGATTTGTTACAATACTTTAGACTGTACTTTGACCAATACATTGTCTGACTCTCCTACCTTCTCAGAACAAGTCCTATGAAGGCAGGTACTTTGTTTTGTTCACTGCTCTATTCCCATCATCTAGAACTGCATCTGGACTATCGGGGGCACTCAGTAAATATTTATGGGATGAATAGATTGATGAGGGAGGGAGGGAAATAGGATTGTATTTATGAGATGCATAGTTCTAAGAGTTGGATTTAACAAAAAATAAAAGTTTGAAATTTTTTGCCCCCTGAATGGGGAACAGCACAATACAGAGAGAAGCTCTGGGTGAAGTTGCAACCACCATGGTCCACAAATCAGTTTAGAAGCTTCATAGTGTAAGTTGTTGTGTATTTAAGGATACTCACCTACACTAACTCAGAAGCAGTAAGAGGGTAAAGGAAAACTTTTCTTTCCTCTACTACTCTCAATACTTCTGGCCAATGAATGTGTGAGTTTTCCACACCAAGCAATTCTGGCACTACCTGGAGTTAGTGCAGATCCCACAGGTTAAGGGCTCAGCGCTGGAAGACTTCCCTCACTTCAGACACCAATCATGAGTATTGTGTCCCCTGGTTTCCCATACTTCTGTCAGTCTGGGCTACAAATCAGGGTTTCCCATGACCCCCTCCTCAGGTTCGATAATTTGCTATCTCAGCTTACAGAACTCAGGTAGACACTTAAACTTTTACCAATTTATTATAAAGGATACAGTAAAGGATACAGGAGGTCAGCCAAACGAAGATGGCCATAGGGTAAGGTCTGGAAGGGTCCTGAGTGCAGGAGTTTCTGTCCCTGTGGAGTTGAAGTGTTCACCCTCCTGGCACATGTATGTGTTCACCAACCTGGAAGCTCTCTAAGCCCTGTAGGTTAGGGATTTTTATGGAGGCTTCATCAAGTAGGCATGATGGATTATTGACTCAATCTCCAGCCCCTCTCTCCTCCCTGGAGGATGGGGAGTGGGGCTAAAAGTTCCAAGCTTCTAATCGTAGCTTGGCTTTTCTGGTGACTAGCCCCTATCCTGAAGCTACTCAGGAGCCCACCAAGGGTCTAGAACAAAAGATGCTCCCATTACCTAGGAAATTCCAAGGGATTTAGGAGCTCTGTGTCAGGAACCAGGGTCAAAGACCAAATATTAGAACAAAAGATGTTCTTAGCTCCACTATCACTCAGGAAATTTCAAGAGTTTTAGGAACTCTGTGTCAGTAACCAGGGGCAGAGACCAAATATGTATTTCTTATTATGTCACAGTACACTCCCTGGTCTCTGGCCCTGAACCTCTTACAGCAAACCGATTGTAAAATTAAAAGATACTGGCTGAAAAGGCAATGTACTGTAGTGGTGATGAGCATTAGCTTTGAGTCCCAGCTTCCCCATCTAAAAGCTGTATGATCTTGGGAAAGTTTCTTTACTCCCCCGAACCTCAATTTCTTGCTCTGTGAAATGAGAAAAATAATAGAACCTACCTTCTAGGCTTGTTATGAAGATTAAGTGATATAATGTACTTAATGTACTTAGTACAGCAGCTGGAATAAGGTAAATATTTGATCAGTGTTTCTCCCATTGTTATCATAGTTAGGAAGGCACTTGCTTGAACACCATTGTATCTCCGAGCACATTTCCCTCCCCAAAAGTAGTGCTTTAAGAGATTTCTAGTGATTTGAGAGTCACCTCCCTAAGCATCTTGCATCAGAGCAATAAGACCTTCTTTATTCTAAAAACACCATCCCAGAAGGCAATTCAACAATTGTTGGGCCTCTGATTCTGTAGAACCTTCAATTATCTGCTATGTGTCCCAACAGGAAAAAAATGAATTAGAAAACAAAAGATCTTATTTATAGTGTCTGTTACTAGTGTTCTATAAAAACCTATATAATTTTTGGCAAATACCTTCTTTTTTTAAATCAGATGATGTTTGTAATACTTCTCTATCAATGCTTTCAGAAATATGAAATACTGGAATATTTCAAATACTGAAATATGAAAAATGAAATACTTTCATTAAATACTTCTTTCCTGATTCTGATTTTTGAGTTGAAACCTTTGAATTTTGAGGATTTAACATAAGAGCAAGCCAAGTGAATAGAAATAATCTAGGGCACACTATTAGGTAACATGGAGAAGGACACAGTTTATAACCAAAAGGAGAATGTGCAAATATTTGAGAAATGTTTAAATTAGAAATTAAAATATGGGCATGCTGGAGTCAGGTTGATGAGTTATGTATGGGTTGATCATTTCTGCTTGTTCAAGTATTTCATGTTTTTCCTCTCAGTATTTTCAAGATGAAGCTCCTGTTCCTGTCATCTATTCAGGGACCAAGGTTTTCCCAAGAATAAAAGGAAGACTTTCTTATTCAAACTACAGTCCAAGGAGTGGCAAACAAGTAAGATGACAGTCCTAAGACCTCAAGATTTCTTTTCTTTGGCCGAGAACTCATTACACAATAGATGATATATTTCAGATGGGTCTACTAAAAAGAAGCATAAAAATCTAGAGAATCACTATCAACCAATCCAAGAGATTTTGCTTTAGATGGCCAAAGCCTGAAACAGAGAGCAAATAGAGCTTGAGAACTAAGAGCTTGAGCAGGTCTTTAGTATTTTACATTTGAGGATCCAAACTTGGATGCTGTCTCACTGTCCCAAGGATGATAAAGAGGTAGTGGCTTGGGACTGGTTGAGTATTTTGACAGAGAGAGAGAGGGAGACAGAGAGAGAGAGGGAGACAGAGAGAGAGAGGGAGAGTTCAAGATTTCAGTTGATTTTGGGACTGGAACAGCACCAGGCACCCAGAAGAAGGAATTCTTGTGGCAAAAAATGAAGGACGCAGATTAGTGAAAGGAAATAAGGAGCAAATTATCTCTGTTGCTTTACATGATCAAAGGCAAAAATTATAAATTACCAGAAGGTAGGGGAAAATCCATATCATTCTTTTGATATCAGTGTTTTTAACATTCAGGGGAATAGAACATACCTAAAGACTTCCCCTTTATTTTTTGTCGTTATTATTGGCAATGATGTTTGAGCTTCGTGTAGGTCTTAGTTTCTAGTTGGTGGAGTTATCATTTTCAAACGCATTGAAAGAAAACTCTTTGGGCCAGGAAGGAGTATGAAACAGAGTTCAGACACACCACAGATACAACCCTGGGCAAAAGTTTTTCAATATTCTTAATAAAATTCCCAATCCTAGGGTTGGGCCTTAAACTACTTGAATTTCTCTCTGGAGATGTATGTTTAATCTAATTTGGCATGTCTATTTACTCAAGATCCGTAATATAACATGTAGAATAATGAGCAGGAGAAAGGCATACTGATTAACTTGTATATGTATCAACCATAGGCTTAGTTCCAGCAAGGGAACACATCCTTGTTTTCTTAGGCTTCTTCCCTCTTCTCCCTGCTGTGCTATGAGAATTGAATAAGAATGATTTTGCTTATCTAAGTGTCTTTGTAGGGGACTTTTCCTGTGAGATGTCTTTTTAAGTGTCTGAATTCTGATTTTCGTAATTTTTTTCCCATTAATATCAAGGGGCTGGGTAGTAGAAATTATTCTTAACAGAATATTTTTGGGCCAGCCCTGGTGGCCTAGTGGTTAGATTCGGCATGCTCTGTGTCGGTGGCCTGGGTTTGGTTTCTGGGTGCGGACCTACACCACTCATCTGTCAGTGCCCATGCTGTGGCAGCGGCTCACATACAAAATAGAGGAAGATTGGCAACAGATGTTAGGTCAGGGCGAATCATCCTCAGCAAAAAAAGAATATTTTTTTCCAGAAACAGTAAGTATGCATAGAGAATACAATTTTATGATTAGCAGGAGAGTTAACCAAGGTAAAACCTGAATTTCAATCCTTAGCCCAGAGAAAAAAATGTAAGAAATCTTTTTATTTTCTAAGGGAAATGTATTTCATGATGTTTATGATTGTGGGTTGTGTTTAGATGAGAAAGGGGCATAATAGATAAATCTTTCTGAATTAGTATATGCACATCATTTATAGTGGGAAAAAGTACAGTCCCAAAGATCATAAGAGTAAAACAAAACCACTGTGACTATTCTTTCTGGCAGGAGGAAATAATACATGGCTTAGAAGTGTGACTGAGTCCTTTAGATTGAGTTGATGGATGGAAATATGACAATGTACAAGTACCCCACAGCAGCACAGAGATGTCAAAGTAAATACATTTGACCCTTCCTAGCAGTGTAGAAGGATGTGTTCCTAAAATCTTCTGAGTATCCCATTGTATAGGGTATTAGTAAAGAGTACAGGCTATTAAGACAGATGACCTGGTTGCAGTGTGACTAGAGCAAGGTTTTGAACCTTCCATGCTTCAGTTTCCTCATCTTTAAATTGGAGATAATAGTAATGCTTGCTTTATAATGTTTTTGTGAAGGGTAAGTGAGTGAATATATATAAAAATGCTTAGACTAATGCTTGACACTTAATAAACAATAAAAAAACCCTATTTCAATAAATCTTAGTTGACTTTGATGGTAGGGAAGTCCTGTTGAGTGCTGTGCAAGTTTTTCATCTCTAATGTACCATAAAATATCTATTAATTCAAGATAGTATACTGAAAGTATGTTGCATTCTTTCCATCTTCTACCCGAAATTCGTAGAAATGATAGAAAATCGACAAAAAAGATGGCAAATGGGATAAGAGTGAAGAATGCAAGAACAATTAAAGATCTTAGAAACTTAAAATATGGTTATTGACATAAAAATTAAACAATAGGACTGAATCTAGAATAGAATAGAATAGATATAGTTGGGAGAAAATATGGGAGCTGAAAGATGAAGCCCAGAAATTCCTCCCACAATGTCATATAAAAAGATACAAAGACAGGAAATATGAATAAAAGTTAAATGACATGGATAATAGATTCAGATGTTCCAAAATTCATCCAATAGGAGTTTGAGAAGGAGAGAATAGAAATAACGTAAGAGGGGCCGGCCTGGTGGTGCAAGCGGGTAAGTGCACGCGCTCTGCTGCTGTGGCCCGGGGTTCGCCGGTTCGGATCCCAGGCGCGCACCAACGCACCGCTTGTCAGGACATGCTGTGGTGGCGTCCCATATAAAGTGGAGGAAGATGGGCAAGGATGTTAGCCCAGGGCCAGTCATCCTCAGCAAAAAGAGGAGGATTGGCAGATGTTAGCTCAGGGCCGATCTTCCTCACAAAAAAAAAGAAAAGAAATAATGTAAGAAATAAAATACAGGTTTACTGAATAAGGTTTGCTGATTGTGTACTGGACTTCAGAAAGCACCATTTAAACTGTAATCTTTGTGAACGGCGTCCCCTGCAGTTGTGCACTGCGTAACTTAAGTGGCCATACATGGTGGTCCTGAGGAAATAAAGAAAAGTAAACTCACAGAATCTACATACATACATACATCCTCAGACTGCAAGGTCTCATTAAATGCTGAGTATATAAGGATAAATTAAAAGGACCTTTACCTAGAGACATGGTGATAAAATTTCAGAACATCTGAGTTAAGGAGAAAATTCTAAAAACACCCAGAGAAAATTCTTACAAGGAATAGGACTCAAATTTACATCAGATTTCTCATTTGGGTAACACTGGATATAAGACAATGAAGCAATATTTTTTAAAATCTAGGGAAAATAATTTTGAAACTAAATTTCTATATCCGATCAAACTATCATCTAAGTGAGAGTGACTTTTCAGACCCCCACTGAAAGAATTACTGGAGTTATATTCCAGCAAGAATAGGAAAAGATTCTAAGAGGAAGATGTGGGATACCAGAAGCAAAGGTGGTCATGAATCCAGTAAAGTATATTGCTAAGTCTAAGTAAGTTTAGATTACAGAAAAAAAAAAAATTAAGGCTTAGAATACTTGGTCTTTATTCACCTAGCTAATTTAAGAATTGAATAACTTCATTGAGAAATTATAAATCAGGTGGTAGGAGAGAGATGAAATAAATGGGTCAGAAAAGGTTCAACTAACAAAGAGATACAACTCATATACCAAACTACCTGTAATACAGTTTTACAAAGAAATGTGCTCTAAACAATAGATAGAAAGTGCTGTGAGGTTAAACATACAGGTGACATTATTTGTGATGTCCTGGGCCATACAAGAAGCATCAACTTACTGTATCCACCACGTTTGTATTGAATTCTCCCCTCTGTTTTGATTAGTGATTCAAGTTTGGATTTTAAGATTTTGTTGAGGTAACTCTGATTACAGAATTTTTTACATTTATGGTCTCTGCTCCACATTTTGCCTACTGTTTTGTAGAAACAAGAGCTCAAAACTGTTAGAGTGACTTCAAATGTAGACATCTTTTGGTGCATACTGCGAAAAATAAAAAGAAAACTGGGAATTCAAATTTCAGATGATATTGACATGGGGGGCAAGACAAGAGAAATTAAACAAGCTAAGTAAGATTCATGTTATATCAGGAGGAGAATATCAATAGTACTCCAGAAGTTGTTAGAAAAGTGTAGGTTAAATATATATATATTCATATATAATGAATATATATATATTACAGATGTTTATTATATATACATATATTTTATGTATAATATATTATATACATATGTGTATACGTATAAAAGCTGAGTATAAAGCACCAGAAGAGGGAGATTTCATATTCACTAAAGCAGCAATCCATTAAGGAGTGATCATGAATTCTTTGCACTTAACACAGGTGCATGCACATGCATATACTCACATGAGTGTACATATAATGATTTTTAATAAGTCAACAATCATAATGGTGATTATGTTAACAGAGATACACCTTTCTCAGAAACTGACAGAACAAGTCGACTAAAACTTATTGAGAACATAGAGGATTTGACATATGGAGGCTATACAAGATTAATCATAACTATACTTATACCTACACCATCTTGTATCCAAAATAGGAAAAGTACATTATTTTGAAATTCACGTTGAATATTGACAAAAACTGAACATGTGTGAGATAGCAAATGAAAGCTCAACAAATATTGAAAACTGAAACCATACAGGACATATTTACTAAGCATAATGCAGTGAAATAACTAATAATACTCTCCTTGATCTATACTGTTAGCAAAAAGCACATGGGTCAAAGAGGATATCAAAATAAAAATTACATACTCTATAGAAACAATAAAAGCACTATATATTAAAACCTATGTGAAGGTGTCAGAGGAAAACTCATAGCTTTAAAATGCATTCTTGGGAAAATAAGAACTGTTAAAAATAATGAGTTAAGCTTTTAACTCAAAAGCTAATAAAGGAACAACAAAACCTGAGGAAAGCAGAAGGAATAAATTAGGGTAAAAGCAGAAATCAATGGAATAGATCATACTTCTCCACACCCCCAAAATAGAATTCATCAATAAAACCAAAATCTGGTTCTTTGAAAGAAAATTAAAGGGTTAATCCTTTGGTAAATTTAATATTGAAAAAGAAAAAGTATACAATATCAACAACATTAGACACAGAAGATATTGAAAAGGGTATGTATATTTTGACACAGATATATTTGTAAATGTAGACAACATATTTAATTTTCAGTACGAATTATCAAATTTGCCCTAAGAAAAGTAGAATACCTGAAAACAAAATAGCTATAGGGGAAACTAAGAAGATAGGTCAGGATCTACCCTTAAAAACAGCACCGTGCCCAGACAGTTTTACCAGACATTGGGGGAAGAGACAATATTTACATTATATAAGTTGATCAAGATAATGGAAAAAGATTAAAAGCCACCCTACTCATATTATGAGGCAATGACAGCAACAAATATTAAGATTAAGTGAAACAACCCCCACAAGGCAAATAAAAGTGCTTGGTACGTAAAAAAAGTCCATAAAGGTTAGTTATGTGCCACAATATAGATTTCAACGTAGAATAAGAGATAATTGGAACAAGAAATTGCAATTCAAGGAGCAATTAAGCGTAGGGTTAAGATGTGAATTCTAGTTTATTGTGCCCAAAACCTGTGAAATTTCAAGATATGATTGAATTAAAGTTAGAAAATGATTATTTTTTAAAATAAATACGGTACTTACAAACCTATCGTAAATGCCTATTTCTTCTCTTCAAGGCCTTTATCTGCCCTTCCAGAAGTGGGCCTCAAAGTCATGGCCGGATTCCAGATGGTTGCAGTTTCACTGGCAATCATGCCAGCGCTTCCTCAAAATTAAATTATTTTCTCAGAGAGCACCACATTTGGGGCATTTATTTCTCCAGAATGTGTAAACCAATTATTTCTAGTCTTCCTTAGAGATTTTCTTTCTTCCTTAATTCACATATCATGTTTGAGAATCTTTCCCTTCTCCACAATTATTCTCCACATGCTCCCTCTCCACAATTTATTCTTTTCTATCCTAAGTCTAAGGGTTAAGGAGTAATATATGCTTAGTATGATATGGAGATGAAAGGGGAAGGCAGGAAGATTAGCTTCTTACCCTTTGAGGGGTTGACTCCATAGTTAGAAACAAACCGAGAAGTGAGGAGTAAAGGCAGGATAGCAAATAATTTTATTGGCTCTCATTTTACTGCCAGTGTGCATTAACAAAGAAGTCTATACCTAAAGACCTTTTGGAGGCCCAGATTTTCAACTTACTAGCATTTTTTTTTTGACATACTGCTCTCCATTGCCAAGCTTAATATAGAGTTCCCTTAGGGTCTTTCAGTTTTTATACTATTATAGCTATGAGATTGGTAATAATCACTTCTTAAGATGCTAACAATACCATTTACAATAACTCACAAAAATGAAGGCCCTAGGAATAAATCTAACAAAAAGAGGAACAAGACTTCTGGAGAGAAAATTATGACATTGTTGAGAGATATTAACAATGACATTTAAAAAATGGAGAGTTATACCATGTTCACGATTGGAAAAGTCAATATTGTGACGTCAGAATTTCCCCCACCCCCCACCCCCAATAAAGATCTACAGACAATGCAATCCCAATCCCAATCCAATAGTCTTCTCAGGAGAATTTGACAGAGTTGATCACTCTTTCTTTCTTGAGACCCTTTCTTCTCTGTTTTTCTCTTTCCTCTCTGGCTGTTCCTTGTCAGCATCCTTTGCTGCCAACTCTTCTACACAACCTTTAAGATTTAGTATGTCCCAGGGTTTAGCCTTAGACCCTTTTCTGTTTTCTCTCTGTAGTTTTTGCTTACATTGTCTCTTCTAATAGCATGGTTCTAAATAGCACATACATATGACGATTCTCAAATTTTTATCTCTAGTCCAGGATTCTTCCCTGAGCTCCACTCATATATCCATTGCTTTTCCAACAGTTACACTTAAATGTCAAATAGGAATTTTAATATGTCTAATACAAAACTTTTGCTTCTTGCTACTCCTCTCTCTCTTGCTGCACCAACTTGCTCTTTCTCAGCTCAGTCAATGAAATGAGTTTATTGCTCAGGCCCCAAATATAGGAGTTGTTCCTGATTCCTCTCTTTCCCACATTCCCTACATCTAATCAATCAGCAAGCTTTTTTGGCACTTTCTGCAAAATATATTCCAAAGGTGACCACTTCTCAACACCTCCTCTGCTACCATGTTTGTCCAAGCTACCATTATGTCTCACCTGGATTCCTAACTGGAATCCTTGCTTCCATTGTTGTCCCCTGACTGTCCCTGCGGTCTGTCTCCAAATAAGCCTGGTGGCAGTGAGGACCGTCAACTCCTTCCAGCCAGTTGCACGCTATGCCTCCATTCTATCTGGTTCTAAGGCTTGGAATCTCTGATCAGGTCTGGCTATCTTGGGCTCCTCAGTGGAAAATTCCTAAATCCAGAAGGCCCTGGGGTTTCTTCCAACTGAGTGTGAGAGCCAGAATGGGGCCCAACTCTTCCTGTTTTACCCCAAACCAGTAGATCCACTTTGGGGATTCCTTCTCTGAGTGTTCTGAAATAGGTCTGGACTATTGTAGAAGCTCCCGTGGTCCTCAAATGAGTTTAAGGCTCTTTCTACGGAACCTGGAAGATGAGAAACGACTCCCCTCCTCACAACCAGTCGCCTGTTCGGCTCCATAACTGTCTACTCTGGGGTGTTGTGCCTTAGGTCTGGAAGCCCTGGGGATTACAGGATGGGCCCAAGAGCCTCTCACATCAAGCGTCAGTAGGTCCAAGAGGCTCTGGGTATTGTCCCTGCTGAGTCGGAGGGCGAAGAAAGAACTCCCCCTCCCGCTCCTCCCCACCAGCGCATCAATCCCCTCGGGAGCCTTGTTCTCAGTCCTGGAAACGCTTGTCATCCGGGATAGAATAGGTCTTGGACCCTTGACAGCGAAGCCCCGTGGTTCCCGAATGCATTTCAGAGCAGCCCTTCAAGAGCCTGGATGCTCCCCGCCCACCGCCTGCTGGTTCTGCCGGCCGGGGGTCCCTTCCTGGCTCTGATGGTGGTGGAACCAGCAGGAAAGTCATCTGTGCTTGACCGGACGGCCTGCTCTCCCTTTCCTCCTGCTCCCCCTCTACTGCCGCCTCCTCCGGCCGCCTCCTCCTTGGGTCTCTACCGCAAGGCTAGCGCCCCTCCCCTTGCTGTGGCCTCCAGTCCCCGTCTCCGCTCGGGCCGCGGCCGAGCGCCAGTCCCGCCGCCTCCGCGCCTCCCAGCAGCCCCTGCGCTAGGCGGCGGCCGGGGCTGCAACCAAGACAGGCGGCCGCGGGGTGGCGCCGCCGCCGGGTCCGCGAGCAGGCGGGTACCCCCGGCCCTGGCCTAGGTAGGGGTTTTTGGGCTACGCGGTTCGGGGAGGCCGCCGGCCAACCTGCACACTTTGGCCTCCCGCGATGCTTCCTTCCTGCGGCTGCCGACCCTGCCCACTCGGGAGCCGGGTTCTCACACCTGCCAGCATCTAGTAAACAATCACGTCGGGATTTTGGGGGGCTGCCCACGAGCTGAGTGCTCTTCTTGGTACCAGGGCGAATCGGACACGCATGACCCCTTGCTCTTCTCTACCCGCCCCCTGCCGCTGCCTCCGACCCACTTTAGAGCTCATTTCTTGCCCCTGCCGGCTCTAGGGAAGCAAACATTTCTCAGGGTTTTGGATAGGTTGCAGAAAGTGTGTGCCCGTCAGCTTCTGCGCAGCTGGGTCCCCGCGCACTGGCGGCCGCGGCCTCCGTGGCGAGCTAAGGTCGCAATGTGCACAGGGGGCCACAGGGTGGCGCCAGCGGCCACCCGCGAGACACGTTCGGAGCACAACGCCTTGGGTCTGTCGGAGAGGTACCGCAGTGATCTGTCCCTTCCGGAGCCCGGTTCTAGTCAATAGTTAAGTGTGGAGCTAAAAAAGTGTATTAATGACCGTTGTAAAGTAGCTGATTTATAATGGAATCTACGAACACAGCCACGTTAGGAACAGAAATGATTGATGGGTGACAGCAAGCAGATTTGCAATCAAGTAAAAATATGAATATGGATTTACAGTGTCCAGTCCTTTTTTTTCGGTAAAAATTAGTGCAACAGTTTCTTCTAAGTTGCTCAAGAAAATATAAAACACCAACTTACCTTCAATACACCCCTTTTACTTGAAGATGTAATGTTGATAGAAGTAAAAGAACTTTTATCACCTTTTTGAAATCATGCAGAATATGCAACTGAGACGCTGAGTCACTGATGAATAAAATATCAGATTTACTGAGAGTGGTGAAAATGCAGGGAGACTGCTCTTTGAAGCCAGCTGATATTTCCCAGCATACTTTTTTACATATCTTAAGTACTCTTTTTGATAGCATTTACGCTGTTCTCACCATATTTCCAGCTTCTTGCCTTATGCTTACCGTAGGCTTTTACATCCTCTTTGTGGTTGGGCGGAACTAGGCAACTAGGTCTGACCAATGAGTTGGAAGTGGAAGCGTTGTGTGTCACTTCTGGGCTGGAGCATTTAATTCCTCGTTTGAGAAGCTCCAGAACTCTCTTTCACTCTGGCACAACAACTGGCAGTGTCCCAGATGGTGGCACCTTCATCAGCCCTGTCTGTTGACCATGGTGTAACATGAATGAATAATAAACCTTTGTTGGTTTAAGGTGTTGAGATTTTGGAGTTGTTTCTTACCTTAACACACCCTAGCCTATTCTGATACAGTTGAATTCACAGATGAATAGATCAGGTATAGAGCTGTGTATAAATTTGTTGCCTAAATAAAGTAAGATGTGGTTATCAATATCTCTCACTTCCATTCTCTTTGCCTTGTTCTCATAGGACTCTCCCTCAGGAGTCAAGCATTTTTTGATAATAAAGAGGCAGGAAAGTCTTTAAATGAAAATTGTCAAAAATTCTGCCCTACCTCTCTACAATATACTAGCATTCAGAACATCTCAACATGGGCCAGCGTATCCATTTCTAATATCTAGCTTTGCCCCTAATACCTGTAAGTATAAGACAGAAAGACACAAAAACTTATGTCTGGTTTATAGTGCCTTTGTTTCTGGTACATTCAGAGTTTCTTTTTTTCCATCCCCAGGGCAATGTATCATGATTTGGGATGGGTGAGAGATATGCCTTTCTTCTGTAAACTTGGAGAAGGGTGAATAGGAAAGTGTAGGCGGAAAAGGAGATGGCGCTTCAGATATTTACAGCAGGCATGTCCTTAGGCAGCACAGTATTATGCAAGGGTGCGAATGGAAGCTGATGATTGGGAGCTTGGTTCATTGCCAGTGTACCCATTAGAACATCTTCATACATTCGTGCGGGCTCATAGTCCAGGAGAACACCTATTTCAGTGAGGGAAGCAATCCATATGTATGACAATGGGAGTGGTGGTGACTCTGTAGAATAAAATGCCATATGGTCCTTGATCGACCTTTATTGAGTAAAATCCTATTGATCCATTTCTTGAATTCTGCAAGTAAAATTAGCAGGTTTGTATTTTGCTTCTGGTATTAACTAGTGAAATTCCAAATCCTGACCTTAAAATGCAAGTCTTCACAATTCATAAAAGTACAATCAGAAGTCAATGAAGAAGTTTCCTCTCTCTTACAGCTAGAGGGAGAAAGTAAATTTTGTATCATAAACCAGCTCAAAAAAATCTGATTTGATAAGTGTTAAATAAGGAACATTCACAGGAATATAAAGCTTACTTTTCTGTGAAAAACGGAGCCTTGTGTGAATATTTTTTGCTGTTACCAACTTGTTTGGTTCTTTGTTAAAATAAATATGTCCCTGAAAGTGCTGTTTGAAAAAACGGGTCTTATAAGACTC